GAGCCGCGGACCTTCAGTAACAGTAATAAATCACAGCAATAGTACATTCACGTAGTTGTAAAATGCATGATAATATGTTAAGAAATCCAAAGTACTCAGAATACGTTACTCTCATTGAGTAACGTAACGGAATACATTACAGAATACATTTTAGGGCATGTATTCTGTATTCTGTAATGGAATACATTTTAAAAGTAACTTTCCCAACACTGATCATGACTTTTACAAGGACTTAATTGCAGGAATTTACAGTGCTATTGTTTAGGGTGCTCACTATGACCTAAGAATGATAAAAATCGGGATTCGTGCACAATTGAACATGTATGCAAAAATGCATTCGCACTAAAACACGCATGCGCAACCTGACACGCAACACAGTCGACGACACTGGATTTGGTCACCTGCAACAATGTACATAAAACGCCACTTGGTCACTCTCTAAAAAACCACAGCCACGTGATTTGAATAAGAGGAAGGTGGAACCTGTCGAACCTTGGCTCCCACCTTGTTCCTTAAGGCGTATGATCTCGGTGTCAGAGCCAAAGCTGTTCCACGCTGTGCAGTTGTAGATAGTCTGAAAGTCTGCCGGGACAATGTTGCTCATGGTCAGCGTGGAGATGACGCCCTCCTCTGTGTTCACAGTTTCTACGGTGTAGCGGCCGGACGTTCCAGACTCTAACACCGTTTCCTTCCAAGACCAGGCCTGAAAAACAGAAAAATAAAAAAGGTGTATGTACAATGTCACTCATGATTATTATTATTATTATTATTTACTGTGGAGCAAGTAATTTTACTCCAGGTGGGTGGATCTTTGGTCTGGTACACAGTCCAATTATTAAAGGTGACCAATCAACCACAGAACACTTCACACAGTTGATTTGAATCCTGCTGGTCGATGCCTGGATTCACAGGAAGGTATTGCAATCAATGTAAGTGTGTGGGCCTAGTCTTTTTGTCATTCCACCCGTATGTTCGCGGCAAGCTCTTTATGCTATGTCAGCACGCTTCTCAATAGAGAAACATAATGACCATGAAAAGATCAACCTAGTGCTCTACGATGATACGGGGAGCGTTTGGGATGTTTTGTTCTGTTACAAGGTGGTATGAATTACTGATATCAGCGTAGAATGTGAGCTCATTTTGTCTGGTGAATAGCTCAGTGATCCACAGAAGTCTAGAAGAGGCATGAATAAATGGGAATCCATTCAGGATATTCAATGCTTCTGTGGCTGGTTAAAACTCTTCTGAATGCTGTGTTAAGGTTAAAAATGGTGGGATCAAAATTGTGCCTGTTAACTGCCCATTTGTTGCTGTTGAGTGCTCAGTGAAATTTCTCCTGGATCTGAGCTAATGTCTAAGCAGTTTTCTTTTCATCGCAGTGTTTGAATCACAGTCCTTTTTGCATTTGACTATCGGGAGACAGCATGCAGCCACTTACACAGAGGTGCGTGCTGTGAAACAGAAGAATCTGCAAAGAGGTACTGTGGATATTTTCAGTACAGTAAATAAATCTGAGTACAAAGAACAACAAAACAGTCTGAAGAATTCGCCATTAAAAAAAGACTTGGATAAGGTCTGAAAAATAACATTTTTTTCTCTTTGTATAAGATGGAGTGCAAAAATGCTGGAATTCTTGCATCCTTTAGCACATTTTGCATGCAAAACAAAAATATTTGAAATATAAGTGAATTTCATGTCTTGGTTCTTTGAAAAGCCACTAATTGAAATAACTTGAAGTCCAATTCTGAGTCTGTTCTGTGGATAGAAATGCAAAACATGCATCATGTAAGATGTGGTTAAGTCGAGTTTACTCTTTAGACCTTGATTATTTTAAATGTAATTGTAGCCTCGTGAAAACATAAAATTAAATACACATTGAAACATATTTTGAGCCGATAATATGTGAACTGATGAAAAAAACATTTTTAAGTGAGAAGCACTCAGAGAACTCAAACCTCCCCCGAGATAGTTCACTCAGTTTTTTCATTCTTTTCAGAGAATATTTTTGTATATTTCTATATATTCGTTTTGTTTTCTTTGTTTTTCAAGAAGTTTGTAGCGCAGTAAAAATCAGATACGGGTAGCGTGACAGATGCTTGCTTTGATTACACAAACATTATGTAGGAGTAGATAATGGATAATAGGTATTGATTTGTAAATAACTGAACATGAATAACTTGAGCTTATTATATAATATTATTATACTAAAGCATATTTCCCCCAGGAACTCGCTGGGCAGCTCGTTCTCTTTGTCTCGACAATACTTTATTTGAAGATATAACATATGTTGGGGTCAACTTGAAAGAAAGGCAGGCGTTAAATGCATACATGAGGTCAGAGGTCAAATGTGACATGATATTTGGATGAAAATTATAATGGGATACTCGAATCCCCATATACAATATATATCATTTCCTGAATGTTGCGATTGCACACAAAGGCAGCAGAATTTTAAGCATAGTTTTAAAGATAAAAGACATTTTAAGTACGTTTGACCCTATTTGACCTTGAAGAAGAGGTCGTAGGTCCAAAGTAACATGATATTTAGAATCACCATATATCATTCCCTATATATCAATATGCTCTCAATAAAAACAATGGCATTAAGAAACAGTTTTAAACAGCTCCGACATGATATTTAAAATCATTATACAGTTTCTTATGTTGATTTATTGCATTTATTTCTATGAAAATTTAACATATACAGATACAAAATAATCAATATTTTTTCAGGGGGTCTTAATACAGAGTGTATTGGTTTTTGAGGTAATATTTAGATGTTTATTTTGAAGTATAAACCATATTTATTTATGCTGAGTGCAGAGTAGGGAAGAGAGGTTTCTATTTTAACAAAAGCAACACCTTTAACTCGGAGCCTTGAGAAACACACAATGGGGGAAACAGGTATGTAAGTCAAAGTCCACCATCACAGTATTCAAACTTTGAGGTTTAAGCTTCAAGACTTTATTCTAAAAAGACTAAAATCACTGTGTTTGAATGACTGCACAGTGTAAAACCAGCAGTATCATAGAGTTTTTTTCCCATGCATGGTATACAATATGGACATCTCCTTGCCTGGTTCTATTTGAGGTTTCTTGCTGATAAAAAGGTTTTTTTTCTTCCCACTGTCGCCAATTGCTTGCTCATAAGAGGTTGTCTGATTTTACCTTCTTTACCTTGCAAGCCGTGAACTGATTGATGGTTATGAAATAAAACTGTACTGAATTTTTGTTTAAATTAAAACAAAATCACTAATATAACTAAATCAAAAGTGACGTTATTGAGTTATCTCACAGCTTTTATAGGCCCACCTGAAATAAACGCGGTATTAATGACACTGCTGGTTAATGTTGAGCATTAGTATAACAAAATGCACATCAGATGACAAAGTACGGCAATTAACCACGCTCACACATGCATGCACAATATGGATACTCATGCGAAGCGCGCTTATTAAGTGTGTTTACATTGTACGAGCGCCATAAATCTTAACATGATCAGCGCAACACAGCTCACATGCGTGCATTAAATGAGAACCGTAGGATCAAGAGTATATTTTTAGGATCCTCTTTCATGGCAAAATCCTCAGAATCTCAAGTATGTGAGCCAGACAGTCCAGATGTACTTACAATGCGGTCCGGCGGAGGTGTACTTCGGATGAAACATTTGATTTGTCCTTTCTCTCCATGTAAAGCTTGCTGAGTCTGTGTGCTTGAGATAGTAGGCGGCCCTGAAAAAGAACAACCATTAAAAAAAAAAAAGAAAGTTAGAAGATGAGCCACAGAAATTAAAACATGAATAATTAAATTTAGTTTCAGGTCATGTGACAAATCCTCTCAACTGAATTCTTGGTGGAAGATTATATTCTAAATGTCTCCTATTTCAAGCGGTAACACCTGAAGTGTTCTGTAATTTGGGACTCCTGAGGAAGATTATATTGCTGTGAGATATGAACTTGCCTCATCCCTTAGTACAATCTAGCCAAGGGCACACCAGGACTGAACAAAGGGCATAAGTGGCAGCTTAGACTTCATTCTGGATAGAGAAACTGTTGATTTATGGCTGGCTTGATTTCTCCCGCTGAGATAAACGTTGTTCTTCGAGTGTAATCAGGACTGCACAGATGGAAAGAGAAAATGCCATTGTGGGGAGATAACACCCCTTGTCACAGTGTTTCACCTCAATCAATGTGCTTGCAGCAGAGTTGACCCCTGAACCAATAAGTCGTCAAATAAACATTTAAAGCCAAAGCTCGCTATAGTTGCCCAGAATGACCTCTATAACTGAACTAATCACAGTATCGATCAAGATATTGCAAAACAATATCCAACATTTTATTATATCAAACTGTATTACGGCCTTATTATTGCAGTCAATTTTATAACCATCAACTGACATTCTGTATAATCCGATTTTCTCAAATTGAGCCTGATCAAATGGAATGGCTTTATTAGCATTACAAACTACCCAGGCAAGGCAAGTTCATTCAACAAGTGCTGGGGCTACTGGACTTCAAGCCAGCATATGCTAAACCTTGGTCAGGCTACAAAATCTTGCCTGACAAGGGCAGCTCAGCCTAAACGACTGGTCTGCTTGCCATCTGGTCTTGAGGCTGCTCACACCAGGTGACAGCACTAATATGAAGACAAGCTGTCACACATAACCCAATTCCATCACTCATGTGATTTTCCCCCCTCCTTTTGCCCTGAACTCACAGTGAGTAAAATTGGTAGAAAGGCAAGGTACCGAGCCTATGCTTTACACTTACAGTGTGATATTTAAAGACTGAATCAACCTGTGGAGGGAATATATGTTTGTTTCAAGCACGCCATACACATTAATTTCCACATAAATTCTTTTACAGTAAACTAAGAGTAGTATGATGGCAGCTGGTAATAGCTTCTTTCACAAATTCAAACCTTCATAATGCTGTTTGAATGTGAGGTGCTGATAACACTTTTCTCTCCTCTTAATTAGCGGCTCCCACCTTCAGTCTGATATTTCAAATTTGGATATCTTCAAAAGACAGAAATCCAACCTGACTGAAATAACGGGGCATGTCTGAGAAAAAAAAAATCACATTCACTAAAATCATCATCCTTGACTTTAATCATGTTACTGGGGAAAAAAAATCCCAACATCCCTGAAATTCTTTGAATTAATTTCACTTTATAGTCCTCTATAGTACTTTATTTATTTTTATAGTGAATTTTCTTTTCACAGAGTGGACATAATTCACTTAAAACCCCCCCAAAACAAAACAGCAAAAAATAAACATGATCACATCATTACAAACTAGCATAATTGCTTACATCCACCTCTGCTTCCTTGCTTTTAAAAGCTGGGTTATTACAGAGATGCTCCCGCATAAATAGCACTGGTAGAGGCTTCCATTGGGTCCTTTATATTTGATTTAAAAAAAAAAAAAAAAAAGCTTTTAAAAAGCTGTTAAAATCAAGCGTTTTGTGAGTCTCTTGTGATGGCTAAGGTTAAAAACATGGGTTTGAGTTTGAGGGTGTGGCAAGTGAGGTAGCTTCTTGATTAGTGAGACAACTCACATCCCCGCCGACTTCCCTCAAACTCCCGCTCTCAGCCATCTCTCTGACGATACATAATTGCAGTTTATTACCTGTCTCTTATTAAAATGAATTAGCATTTTAATGAGACTTTGCCAGATGGTGTCTTGGTATGCTACTGGAGGATGCTGGAAGGCTGCTACTGCTGCACGCTGAATGATGCAGACACTTTAAGAAAAATGGATTGAGAGCTGCTCCTCTTCTTTCACTGCTTTGCCAACATGGAATGATAGTATGAATGTGGGATGTGTGTTTCATAGTCATGATAAGGGGGTTTATATGCATGATCTATATGTACTAACCTGTTATTACAAGATGGAAATAAGTATGTGGTTAGCATGGACTCCAACTGTCAACGCACAGCAAGATCAATTGCTTGCAGGCTGCAAAAGGGTGGTGGAAGTGACTGGGGAGGATCTATTCTATGGATCAGAGCTGCAAATGAGAATTATAATTAGATAGCTTTATCTCACTGGCTCAGCCGGGGCTGAAAGTATGTGGGTGTGTGTGTTGTGTGTGTGTGTGTGTGTGTGTATGCCAGAGCGTGTGCGTAAAAAAACGTGTTTGCTGCTTGCACTATGTGATCAGAGCAAAAACACGCTAGTAGCTGAGAGGTGGGTGGCACTACAACATCAATGGTAGCAGCAGGGGAGGTAATCAAAATGTTGGGCACAATGTTTCACTCATTCATTTGAGGAGGTGTTAACTCTAGAGTGGACATTGCAATCTGATTACACAATGTCGGTGTGGGTGTCAAAATGCCAGGGCTTACATTTCCTTCCAAAACTGAGGCATCCGCTTTGAACAACAGCTTGACATTTCCTCTCTACCTCAGCGCAGCTCTTCTGATTTCTCTGTTTTCTTTTGTGATGAAAGAGAGCACAAACAGCTGCAGGGCAAGTGAAACAGAGGAAAACTATCTGATATGGTCACTGATAGCTGATGATTCCCCACTGGAGGGAACCCACGGTAATGAGAGCCTGTCTATATTTTCAAGCTGTCGCAAAGTCAGCTCTTATAGACATTATGCAAAGAAGTCATACTTGTAAGAGCTGCGTCACACACTGCAGTGTGACAACACGGAAGACAGTAATCAGACACGGTTGTGAAGAGAAAGTGACTATATTGTTATATATTGACTAAATATTGTTATTAAGCTGGTTATTACTGGCAGTGACTGTGCTTGGAAATAGTAATCCTTCTGCTGTTCCACCTCCAACTGCACTATATCACAGTGTAGTGCAGTGTAGGAAAGATAGGTCACAAATGATTTCATCTTCATCCCTGATTGGCTGAGGTAACCATCATATGTAACTTCTGCTGAAATACAAATTTTCCTGGCCTGAATCATCTGACAGCTTCGCCACATTAGCCTGCCCTGCTTGAATACATCTTTACGACAGGGACCAGACTGTATATTCTCCTTTCTATTCCTGCATGCAGCATGATCTATACTGTCTCCACACTCTGCTGTGAACACACATTTACAGTAATAACTCAGCATCACCACCACAGGCCACGGGCGCTTGTTTTATTTTCTGGCTACAAACAGTGCATTAACGACAACTGCAACTACAATCAGTATGCGCTAAGAGAATCTTTAAACATGAACAGAAAACATCAACATAAAAAATCTGGTTCAGCCTAAAAAAAACACCCCCAAAACAGATTACGATTCTACACTCGAGAGCCTCTTGCTTGCCTTATGCACATAAGCATTTATTTTGAATGAAAACAACAATCTTGGAACGATCAGTCAACGGTAACACTTAATGTTCTTATGGAAAACACTTTTGAAGAGTGAAAAAACACGTCAAGAATGAGGATGGGATTGTTTGACGATGCATCTTATTTGTACTGAACGGACACACAATGAAGGAAACGAGCACTCCACGACGTTGACAAAGATCTAGTTTTTCTTTATGGTTTTAACCTAAAGTTACCGTCCATGGCATTGCTGAAGTAATTTTAAAAATCATCGTTCTAATTTGAAATGCATGCGAATAGAAGTGTGAGAGAAGTTTATAATCTGGCACAACCACATCAGCTCCAGCTATCACATGGGCACACACACACTTTCATTACGTACACTGCTAACAATTTCAGCAAACTGTGAATTGCAGCAGGACATGAGTACTGCGCTGATCGTTTAATTGAAAAGTGTTTCAAAGAGTTCTGACGCTTAATTTATCTAACCGCAGCTGTTTTTAATAGGTTTATAACATTATTTACACAAATGATCACTTAACCTGAAACAGCTTTAATGTGAATTAAAATTCAACTTTCAACTTGCCTATGCAAGTTCCACTTTCCATCCACCCATCCTATGTAGCTGAGAAGAAGAAGGACAAGAGAAAGACTACAGGGAAGATTCACAGAGGTGGTGAACAAGTTTTTCTCTTCCTTCTACACTGGCTGCTTTTTCACTCATTTTCAGTCCAGTCCTTGTACCTGACCATTTTAAGAGCAATGTTTTTTTGTTTGATGATGAAGCCACCTATCATCATCATCAAATTGAATCATTCAAGCATAAGAAACGTACCTAACTCAAGGGATGAACCAGTTTTGTATCTGCACATAACAGAGAACTTAGCCAAGAACCCATTTTAAATGGTATCTTTAGGTAAACTGTTATTAAGAGCCTGTTGCAAATACACATCATATGTTCTCATTTCTTTAATTAAATCCATTAAAAATGCCAAAGATAAAACAGTATTTTTGGACCAACAAGATTATTGTGCTCCAGCTGAAAGCCTGGTATAGCTCCACATTTTGTATGTTTCTGTATTGAATGCAAGGTGCCCTTAAAAAGAGCTGTGAAAACCAGAAAAGTGGAGAACAACAGAAGAAGTGGCAAGTCTAAATAACAGATGAACAGTATCTGAAAGACATTGTCCTTAAGAAATAGGAAAGAAAATAAAGCAAAGACCTGCCACAGAACCTGGGAAATGAATCTGCTCCTTCATTTAATCCATCAACTGTTCACTGACGTCTCATCAAAAATGGTCTCAGTGGAAGGGTGGCTGTCAAGAAACCATTCTTAAGGAAATGAAACGGGGAGAAAAGGCTGAAGAAAGCCAAATTACACAAGTGACAGCATGTTTTATGGTTTGATGAACTTTTTGATGAACTTTTGGTTCAAATCATCAACAATATGTACAGAAGACATCGAAAGAAAGGTCTCGACACGAATCTGTTAAACACAGCTGAGCCTCTGTCAGGGTATGGGGCTGCATGTCAACCAGTGAAATTGGGGATCTTGTTAAAATTGATTTTATTCTTCATTTTTAGAATGACAAACAAACTGCCAATTCATTAAAACACTCTCAGTTGTGGATTGGCCTCCCCAAAGTCCGGACCTCAACGTTATTAAAGCAGAGTGGGATTATTTTGACAGAGAACATAAGAAAAGGCAGCAGAAGAGCCTTGAATGTCCATTAAGGAGCCTGGAGAACTATTCCTAAAGATTACTTAAAGAAATGACAAGAAAGCTTTCCTAAGAGAGTTCAGGCTACGCTGAAGAATAAAGATACCAAAAATAGACTTTCATGATTACTGGCATTTTACAAACTCAGTTTTTGGACTGTAGGTTCTATTGGCAGTCATTTGCACGCGGGGTCTTGAGGAGTCTTGAGGGGTCGGTCAAGACTTTTAGACAGTACTGTACCTTGAAAAGGTCACGAGTTTGTCACAATACTGACACAGAGACACATACAACCATTTCCACTCACATGAATCAACACTAATTACAAACAAGCATGTGTTTGGACTCTGAAAAGACACCATAGAAATGGAGGAAACCCATGCAAACATGCACGCTAAGCTATGTTTTTGCAATACAAGTAGGATAACGCAGATAAGCATCCCAGTTTTTTACTCAGTACCAGAAACAACAAACTGATCCTAGTGACAAGCAGAAGGCCTGACCAAATTAGTGCTCTCCATATAAAAAGTTAACTACTACAGAAAATAGATATTGCTGCACATTATATTCTAAAACAGGTCACATAGTTACTAAAAGCATTGCAAGATGGCCACAAGCAGTCAATAACCACACGATATAACCACACTTCCTTCCATTTGTTACACTACTCCTATCCTTGCTTCTCACTTTACTGAATCTTCAGAGCAAGATGTCTTAACAATTGTCCCCTCCCTGCACATAATTGACACATTTGAGCCAGTGACTTCAAAACTGTTATGCTCTAAAAATCATATAAGCCCGCAAGAACTAGCTTGAACTTTTGAATGAACATTCCTGCTTGTACAGTAAACCTCACAGTGAGGGTATAAAAGTTTTTTTCCCCCTACATATGAAAAATAATGTCTGAGCTGAGCAGAGTGAGTGCACATCAGGGGACACATAATGGGAAAAAAATGAGTTCAAAGTCTTGCAGGAAGACGTGCAGATCATATCTCGCCGGGCTTAAATGTAGCCGGTCAGATAAAATATGCTGCATCTTAAATGTTTTCCCCTTCGTTAACTTGCACTTTTCTTTCTTATGTGGTGTCACAGCTAGTTTAAAGAAGGTAGGAATGCTAATTAACTTGGCACATAAAGACTGTCTAGGAAGAGAAACGGCAGAAAAAAAAGATCTATAACAACCCATTGCTCTGTGGGATATTGAGGGATTCTCCGTCCCTCTCTCTCTCCCTCACTGTGGTAATGGGTTTTCTCTCCCTGGGCTGCCCAAGTACTGTATGTGTGTTGTTATACATATTAATAGCCCAAAGGCACACACATGCCCACAAACACAAACACAGACCACACATATACATGGATATATATTAATTAATATGTACTGCCTGAGTATATAGCACTTAAAAGTTAAGCTAAATCCTTCCAAGCATGTCAGATAAGTCACCTCCTTCCAGTTTCTGCAGAATGGTCAAAAATATCATGCAAATACTGTAACTACACACATGGACCTGTCTTCTGCTCTTCCTCGTATTCCCGTCTACCTGACGACCATGTATGAAAAGCTGAGGACTTATGTATTCTAAAAACGTTTGTCTAGAGTAAGCAATATGTATCCATTAGTGACTTAAACAGAAACTGCCTCCCCTGCTAGCTGTTTGATTATAATTAAATTACATTCTTCCCCGGGGAAAGCAAAATCCTCATGTCTATGTGGTATGCCACAGTGGGAGCCGGTGACACAAAGCGACAGAGGGAGAGACAGAGGGAATGACAAATTATAAACACATGTAATTTAAACGATGCCGTTAAGGAATCAGGAGATAACTGCAGGGAAAACAAACTGCAGAGAAACATTCGAATGTGCAGCAGACACTGTCGCATCATGAATACTGTAAACATTCACAGCATTGCTCCTTTTTTGGGGGGTTTATTTGTATATATATTATTGTGGCCGTCTGTGCAAGACAAACAAACTAAACAAACAGAAAGTTGTACAAAAATAGTGCTAATTCGTTCGTTTATTTATTCATCGTGAGAATCCGGCCGTGCGGCGCGTACGCTTTCATTGCTGTTCGATGGCAGGATGATAAGAGGGAAGGAGACCTTATGTATCAGCAGTCGAGTCGTTGTCGTAGGGCAATCAAGGAACCTCGGGAGACAACTTGGCACACGCCACCTCTTCAACCACAGTGTTTGCGCTTTCGCGAGTTTGACAATCTGATTCGCCTCAAGGTCTGGGTAAGAAATGACTCGGGATTTCTCGTGTGGTTTTGAAAAAGAGATGAATTTCAATTATTCAGAAGGGTAAAAAGGAAGGAGGCTTTGAATGTCAAATAACAATTCGGGCAAAGAGGTGGTGGGTAAGAAAAAAACAACAACAAAAAAAACAAGAGAGAGAGTGTGAGAGAGAGAGGAAGAGAGATGAAGAATATGAACAAATAAAAGACTAGAAACTAGAAACTTACTTGAATTAAGTCTGCAGGGACTGAATAAACATGCTATTTCAGCTTTGTTCCATGTTTCCCAGTGTGCTCTGAGTTGTGTTGTAATCTTTATTAAAACAATCCGTCTTCTTTCTCTCGTGGCAGCATTTTCACAAAGAACACAATCTCCACAGATGCATGAGCAGAAACGAGATGCATCAAGATACGCCAGCACACTGGATATGGTGGATTCTGTTTACATATTAAGGCTGCAGAAAAGATGCCGGTATATGTTCAAAAGGATGGGAGAGAAAAGAATTACACATGAATTTTCCTCCTCTCTGCCTTGATTCCAGCTGAATTCCTGGCTGAAAATGAGGGGGGTTCATTGCAGTTCATAGAAAGTCATGGTTCTGATCTTGTGCTGGAGGGAATACTGGTATCCCATTCTTTCTGATATGCAAAACTAGCGTCTGGATTTTGAAAAGAAAATCTTAAAACACACTGTTTGCTACTTGATGTATCTTCATCCCCAAATGAGCACCAGTGTTGCTTACAGGCAAAGTCTTTTGTTAGCTTTCAAAATGTGCATTGATACACTGTGAGAATTAACTCAACATCATCTCGTTGCCGGCATTGTAAAGCTGGATTGTTTGGTTTGGGTTTTTTTCTTGTTTCTTTTTTCCCCCTTCGGTTTAGCACAGGTTTCTTTCAGATGGACAAGAGGGAAAATAAGAAACATGTAAATCCCACAACTAAGAACCTCTGCCACACCGAAGCATGCGCCATGAATATCAAGCACTGGTAATGAAGTCATTTGTTTGAGAGTTGCCAGGTCTCCCACCAAGGCTGGTATTCATTAGTCAGTCAGTGCCTCAGAAAACGCAGCTTCCCTGTGACTCACGCAGAATATAATTAGCATTTAAGTACATTTCACCTGTTTATGAAACATGCGCCAAATCTTGAAAACACAAAGTCTGTTTATTTTATTTTTTCCTGTTTCATCAGCTGCCACAGTAATGATTGCTAACAAAACGAACTGGGTTTTTATCACGTTACCTTTGTTAGCAAAATTCATTTGCATGAGCATCATTTTAAGGAACGCTCTTTTGCCGTGTATGCTGGTTTGTGTTTTGTCACTATGCTTGCCTGATAAAATTAGCTGTCTCTAAGAAACAGATACATTCAATGAAAAAGACTCGAGAAGAGAAATGCAGTCATATATTCTGTTGGAAGCTGCACAGAGGAAGATTTATATAAACTACAAAGGAAGCTGGATACAGAATCTTGTGACAAGTTGCTGTCTTCCTGCTGCCATTGACCTCAGACCTGAACACTCACACTTCTATTTGCATGCATTTCACAGCTTCGTGGAGGTGTATCAATACCCATTTTTGTGTAAGACATGCAAATATTGCAGCTTACCATTGACAGTAAGAGAAACCTCCTTCTCCCCTGCTCCAACACGTGGCACGACGGCACGGCAAACGTATTTCCCAGCGTCCTCCTGTCTCACGGATTTCAGTGTCAGGAGGTTCTCGTTGCTAAGAACCTGCGGCAAAGAAGTCAAAGATCATCAAATGTAGCGACTCCAAAGTCACCTTTGCATTTGTGATGGCAGCAAAGCAGCACTAACAGAAGAAGAAAAAAAAAACAAGGCAGCACACGAACCATTTAATACCTTAAAGGTCACCTCTTCTCAATTATTAAAATCCAATTTAGGGTCTGAGCTCAGGCGAGTAAAGCTTTGGCCTTTAATGTTGACAAAAGAAAAGGTGGAATGAGACTGAATTTGAGGATCAAATCAATGGATCTCACTTGAGAGCAGGTCACCAGGAGGCTGGGACAAAAAAAAAAATTAGGTCTAATGGAACTTTACAAACCACTGAGCTATGATAGAAAAAAATAACCCAAAGTACTTTGCAGAAACAAGTTCAGGAATAATTACAAAAAAAAGTTTGCTCTCGGCTGTATTATGTGATTATATAAGGTTTTAGTTAACTTTTATCAATGCAAACTGAAATACTTACCACCCCAGAGCCTCTTTTCATCCACACGATGGTAAGAGAGGGATTTCCTGTCCAGGCACAGTTGAACACAGCATCAGATCCAAGGTCAACCTGCAAGGACTGAGGCTCTGCAGCCATGCGAGGGCCAACTATTGGGGAAAAAAACAAAACAAGAAAAACATCCATAGATCCATAAATAAAGACCCTAGTTCTTTGAGCTCAGTGTCAAAACATGCAACGCAGCAATGCATTATTCCGCTGCTGGCATTAAGGGAATGCATGTAGGATTACTGAAGGAGAAACTCACAGTAGACATCAACATTGCGGCTGATGTTGGTGCTGCCGAGAGGGTTGGTAACCTCGCATGACACAGGCTCTGTAAAGAAGGAGTGATCCACGATGACCTCGTATGTGTCCCCAGAGACCTCCTTAATTATACTTCCCCCTTTGGCCCACCTGGTGTTAGGATAGATGTCGGGAGGGGTGTGAGAAAAATTAAGGAAAAGGAGAAAACACATTAAGACAGGTTTCTCACACCTTCTTGTGTCGGTGGTGTTCCTTTTGTGTAAATAAATCATCATTCTGGGGCTGGTTTTCTGTGCTGGCTTCAGCATATTTTTGTGGCAGCCCTCCATGCAGTGACAAGCTCCCTGGCAACTCGGAGCAGACAGCACGTTCCTCATTACGCCAGACAGAGAGTGCCAGAGCACTACAGAATGACAAATGGTTAGCTCCTCCACCTTTGAAGACATTGCTTGACACGTACTGTATTAAACACAACAGCTGACGTTAATAAATTGGCATGGGATCGCATTAAAAAGCATCTGTTTGTGTTTGTGAATGATAGCCGGTGTGACGATGACACAGACCCCCCCCTCCCCCGACATGTTCAGGTGAGACTTTTATGATGTCACGGGCAGCGGCGTCTCACTCGGCGTGGCGCGGATGGCTCACTGCTGCCGCGACAGACAAGGCCCATTTATAAAAATGAAGCAAAGGCGCATGTGGATGTGCCGGATCGCTCTGGAAAAATTTAGACAGTGCTGTGGGGCATGCAATGTATCATGCACGCTGATATCTTCCACAGTAAATATGTGGCTGCATGCTGATGTGGCAAATGAAAACAATGACAGCGGTGCCAGTGCTTGTCTCCATTTTATATTCCTGCCAGTACCGAGAAGAGTTTTCATGGGATAGGGAACTCATTTGTTTTCCATGGCTAAGCTGGCCCCATGCTTGACTAAAAATCATTTAAATGAGAACAGATTACCTCATTCAATCAGTAAGTGAATTGAAGCAGAATTCTAATTGGGCTTCGTGGGATTTTTTTTTCTTTTCCATGCTCGCTTATTTTAAGCAGTAGATCTTTTCCGAGCCGTGTTTTTGTGTGACAACAATACAGCTGAGAACACTGCAACACCTGCGTTTCCAAAAATAATGAAATTAGGGCAGACAGGTGTTTTAGGCCTGTCTAATCAAGTAGTATTGATGTTTGCGAACTGGTCAGGTCATGGGAGGATTACAACACACAAACTGAATATAATACAGTATGACTGTATATCTGCAAAGTCCAATCATTCGAGTAGCAGAGCATTACCCACAGTGATACTTAGGATTCTACGTAGATTCTATACATTTCCAGACAATGTGAAAACCATTATGTTAATGATGACGACTGCTGATGTTCCCATCATTCTGAATATGATTATTATTTTTTCAGCTGCTGTTTAGATGACTTGGATGATACAGATGTTGATGGCGAAGACGTTATTAATGACACTTGCGATGTTCTGGTAATCAGGATGAAGACAATAATAATGATGATTAGGATGATGACAATGATGATGTCGATGATGACACTGATTACTGAACAAAGATCACGATGAAGGAGGATGGAGTACAGGAATTAGACTGGCAAACGGTTCCCAGTTTACTCTTGCTCTTGGAAGCAGCTACTGACAAAACCAAGCAGCAACTTCCAGCACTGAAGAAAAATGAAACTAAAGTGGGTCAAGTGGCTGACCACTTGATGCTTGCTCCAAGATTGAGTGAATCCCCATAGAACTTCATTTTAAACAGCAGAAAGAAATAAGTAACTAAGGAGGTAAGCCAGTCTTTCTAAAAACAGTTTGCGTACACTCAGCATGTGGATGAATTTCATGGTAACTTTGGCCTTTTAAAGATTGCTTTAAACTTTTCTCTTATCAGGTTGTAATAATAATATTAACAGCATATACCTTTAAAGATTTTAAAAGCTAGGATTAGGTGCATTATTTATTTAATTTATTAAATGATTTATTTTCTCTAATCCACACAGGGTAAAAAGTATGGTTTGACCCTTGGTTAATGTCCGTTAGCAAGTTGCACCTCGACCAGAAGCTTTTAGTAGCCATCAGCAAGCTTCTGGCATAATTCTGGCTGGATATTTCATCGCCCCTCTTGGCAGAATTGGTCGAGTTCATTTAAATTAGTTGTTATTTGGCACACACCCGGCTTTTCAACATAGTCGGCAAATTTTCAAGGGTTGAGGTCGTTAAACAAATTAATAAAACTAATTTTCTTTAATATGTTCTTGAAATTCAGAAAAAAAGCATGAAATTCAAGAGCAAAAAAGAGCATAAAAGGATAAAGTGCAACAGTTCAAGTAGATTTCACAAGTTATAAACCATGAAAATTATTTGATCCGAAAGCTTTGAAACAAGTAAAGTGACTCAATAGATGGTTCATGACTGAAGATAAAGAGCAAAAACAACACAAACAGCGATTCTATGACATCTGCATTTACATAAGACTATGCCACCGTTTCACTTTACCAGGGCATACTGTAGGAGTCGTAATGGGGTAAGCACAGATGTTCGGGCAGCCGGCTGCTCCCGAGTGGAGGCTGCGGCTGCCAGGTTTGGGAGCCTTTGACAGTGTTAGAGGGAGCAGAGACAGAACGCCGTCGTCCGCGGGGAGCATGGAAGCTCTGTTGGTGTGCTGGGCCTTGTCCAAGGCTCATGTCTAAACATAGCTGGAGCAGGCTAACACAAACACCTGCATTCCCTTTGGGAGGTTAGAAGGGCCAGCGCGAGCTTACTCAGTAGCTGACTCACTTTACACTGCTGTGTTCTATTCAGGGATTTGATTCAGACAAAGGGTGTGAATCCTGTGTGCCTGAGTGTCTCTGTGCATGGGCATGTGTCTACGTGTGAACGCGCAGGTTTGTACAACGTGTGCGTGTGTTTGTTATGTTCATGGGTGTGTAAGTTAATAGTGTTATACAGATAAAAGGTCTGCCGTTAATGGAAGCAGAGGGTGAAAGTGACGTGGAGTTGGGGGAGGGGGGTGTATTTGCTGAATGTGATTAAGGCAATAAAACAATAACAATTAAATTAGGCAGGTATCTGTGCCATCAGCATTGAGACTCACAGTAAATCAGGCCCTACAGTTATTATCAGCATGGTTAAGCACGGCACAGCGCCGTTCTATTCTGCCTTCCATGCATATTGAAAGTGATGACTACTCTCAGAGGAACGTAAAATAAATATGCAGGTTTAGTAATAGCGTAGAGCCATTTTGACATGGACATAAATTATGGAGCTATTTTTTGATCTACGGAGAAACCGAAGCAGGTTCTACAGATATCGATTTGACAAATAGACAAGTGTTTTGTGGGTCCTTAAAAGTTTAGGATAAACTCAAAAAAGTTAGGAATATTTTAGACCAACCAACTTTTCCAAGGTGCAGTCAGGGACTTTTTCCCCCACACAATCCGGATTTGTCTAGCAGTTTACTCATTTAGATTTATGCCAAGCTTTAGGTGGGGGCTATTAAAACAGTTTAGTTTAGTCTGAGCTTTTTTACTTCCCTCACCTTGACTTGTATATTTGTAGAAATGGTGCACGATGGTGCGTTGGCAAATATGCTCTGAATTACAGACACAATTATTTTTCTCTTATTTCAATGAGGATTATGATGAATGTAAAAATTAGCCATGTCCCAAGTTTGTATTGATTTTGGGCATGGTCACAGCAGCGTAAGCCATGCAAGCAATCCATCCAGCAGTAGCAACAACAACAACGGTTAAGTGTTGGGAGGACTGGGATGTTATTTGTTACAGTGTCATGCAAAGGAATGGGGTTTGTTGTTGCTCTGTGCACAGCTATGCTGTATCGGCAGATGAGGGACCTGATTTGCTTTGTTTGTTATTCTTTCTCTTCTCTCTGGTGGCTTCTTGTTTGGATCCGAGAAAACCTTGTGTGCTAGCTGCGTGATTCTGATGTTTGCCAGTTATCTCTCCCAACCATTATAAACAGTAATGAAGATGTTCCAACCCACTCTTCCTCCCCTCCTGGAGTATGTTGATTCCCTGACTGCCAGCGGAAGCACATGCCAGTTACTCTTATTTCACTTTTTTGAGCATTGCATTTATCTTCACTTCCAACAGTCCCCTTCTTCCCTCTTTGCTCTTGAACTGTGATCTGGCACAAGTTCAAGCATTTCAGGTATGGAAATATATCTTATTACAGTTGCTATGTTTAAGCACGAGAGGTTATGAACAGCAGAAGGCACCATTCCTTTGACTAGTGACCCCACTATCTTGGGTCTGTGTCTCAGGAGTCTGTTGAACTGGAGGATGGCAAAGTGGTGCAGTGCACACTGGGAATGGATGGCACTCCCGGGAATGGAAAAGAAACCATCCGTCTAAGAAGTCTTGTGTCCTTGTACTATATCTGATCTGGGGTAGACAGAGTGTATTAGTACTGAATAATGGCCCCACACTGCTTGACCAGCTTCCTGCTCTCCTCTGTGATATTGTTCTCTAGAGGGGAAATTTGTGAGGGTCTCTCCCTAGTCAAAGTCTATCAGGCAAGCGATATGATTCCCAAAATTTCTCAGTCTACCGTGACCTGAACGGCAACGGTCCATGGAAGTCCTAAAGTGCTTGTACAAATTGCAGATAAATCTGAATGAGGGACTATGAAACTGTGTAACTGTCAAAAAGAGTACAGTTTTAAATAATGGCAATTATTAGTCTGATTATGGCTTCTAAATCCCACTGTGGATTGTGCCAATAACAGTGGGGCGAGGAGAAAGAAAGGAAAAGAAATAATGAGATTTAAAAGAGGGGATATGGCAGTTTTAGTCTCTTTTCTCTCAAGCTTTAAGCATAGCTTCTGAACCATTTTTCCTTTTTTAGTTTGTCAAACTAGAAGAAAAAGTTATCTCAACTGCCATTGAATTTTAGCTCTCGATACCCTGGGGAGAAGTCTGGCTCTCGCATTGATCCAGTCTTATAACAATAGAGGTGAAATCCCTTTTGCAGGTAAGATAGACGTTCTGTCTCTGCTGTGCACCTACACAATCAAATACAAACCTTGTTTTCCACAATATCACTGCCCTTCCTCCCCTTTTCTTTTTCAAAAGGGCAGGATCCATCAAAAGGCAACATCTCTGTTTTGCCACCTGTGAGTATGTTGTACATCCATTTCATTTCCCAGTACCATTACAAGATTCTGAGCCAGCCAATTCCCTTTGCTATCGATTTCACTCCATTTATTTTTTGCCGGGTTTTAAAAACCTCCCACACAGAAAACCATCTCTTGACAAATCACTTCAGTATTACACTTCTGGAAGGCTGTGCGAAGGCTTTATGAGAATAATTAATGTCCACTTTCTTGTGCCATTACAATTACTGATGTAAGAAAAAAAAATAAACACAGGCTAACATGTAGAACTGAGAATAAGCCAAGATTTAATAGACAAAGAGGGCAACTGCCGAGGAAAAGCAGTGCATTAGAAATTAATTGTTTCTGTTTTTACTTTGATATTAAACCTGCCAGGTTAGTTGAGTGGTTGCGTGGCCACCAACATATGGGTTAAAATAGATACTTTAATGAACTTTACCATTATTTTAATGCACTCTAATGTAATCTAGTGGCTTGACGATATTTTATCAATACTCTGTCTGGCAGTCTACTTAAAAAACAAAAAAAAGAAAAGATTGTTTGTTTAGCTGAAGCACGAGATGTGTATGTCTGACAAATATACAGAACAGATTTGAAGTAAACACACAGTATACAGCCTTCTAAGCTTGTATAGTTGCAGTACAATAAAAAAAACTTGAGGGGAAAATAAAAACCTCCAAACGCTTCTTATTTGAACAGCGGCTTCAAAAACGGTGAAATCCCATGACATTTTGGACATTTTTTGGCTCTTGGTACTTTAGATAAAATGAACTGAAAGGGATTTTTGTCAACAACCTTGACATAACAGCTGAAACTGAAAACATGTTCTGAAAACTGTCAGCAAACTTCCCGAAGATGAAAGAAAGCATATACGGGCCCCGGCGATGTTATCTGTCTTCAAGCCATTCAAGTGGTTTTCAGTGGCACCCTAATCTGTCCCTTTTGCTGCACCGGGCTGCTGAAAAACCTTTGCATTCTTGCACAGACACACAGATTTCCCCAATCTGCGGTCCTTGTCCCTTTTAAAGGCATCCAAATACACAAATATGTCCCTGCCCCGCACCACTCAGAAGCACCCGTCACATTGCTTCACAGTGGTGACAACATAAGATAAGCAGGGATCTGTCTACAAGAACTTGTGTTTCTTTTTTAATTAGACTAATGTCTGCCTCGTGATGAAGAGTTTGCTCATTCTGATCTGTTAACTTCGCTCTTTATTCTGTTCTAATGTGATGATTTAACCTTCCTCCGAGTGAGTCAGTAAAATTACTACATCTTGTGACACATCTTGCTGTGACCCTCACAATAAAACACTGAATCCAGGCGCGATAATAATATCCAATCTTTCTAACATTTAAAAATACAACGAAAATAAAAATTATGTACGGGCCCTGCACGAAAACACTACGGGACATTTCAAGTTCAAGGGAGGTGAACAGCTCTACAACAAACAACAAAGCCCTGCACTGGTTTATTGCAGCTCAGTAAAACATTAAGGTTTCTAAGGTGTATTTTTGGCGAAACGTTCCTTTTCGTCTCTTCATTTTAAAGTGTGGGCATATATAACGATGTCATGACATCATAAGGAGCTGGCTGACAATGATGAATGTGATCAATAATGAAGCGTTAATTCCGACTCTGTGTGAAAATGTATCATCTGCTGGCAACATCAATTAGAAAAGACGTCATTTAAAGTTTACCGCGGTGCGTTGTTCTTGTACACTATATTATCATGGTTTGAGCATTCATGACTTTGTTTTCATACTCTTTAATGATCTCACCTGTAGTGTGTGACAGGAGGGTTGGCCTTTGCGGAGCAGTGGAATTTTACGAGGTTGCCCTCCAGAACAGGCTGAGGCTCCACCGAGAGATTTACAAGTGGGAGATCTATAAAAACATAGAGACACAAAGACAACCAATTACCGAACTGGCAGCCTCCTCAAACATGCTGCAGTGAACTGTAAACCTGAGACAAACACTTTGTTGTCAACACTGTTTGTGGCTGAAAAAGACTCAGCAAGAAAAGTGAAAATTATGTCTAATTTTGCAAAGGAGACAAAATACCCTTATAAATAGTGGGGGAAACATGCAGCCTCAAAATACAAGACGACCCGCTCCACCCTGCTTTCCTTTAAGCTTGTTGGTGTGGCAGGTGCTGGAGAGGGGGTGTGGCTTGTTTTCCAATCATCAAGGCTGGCAATACCTGGTCTCACTGGACCGGTGCTCTGCAGATATCCTTAGAGCGTAGCTGCTATGTGGCTCCCCAAGGCACCGTTTTGGATTATGGTTTGCTTTCTTGCACTAGCATGCAACACTGCATACACCATTTCATCACTCAGGCGCTCACTTACACCACTCATCATACTGGCCACACACACCATGGTTAGTTTAAGACTGTTCTTTGTTTCATTAATTTAAAACAAACAAGTTTTTAATTGGCTTCTGTGAGCATCTGCCTTTTTGTCCTGGCTGTGCAGTCGGGTTCATGACAACAAGGACTAATTAATTTTATTTAGAAGGACCCAGATTTGTCCAAAAACTGATTTAGCTGTGCAGGGTTGACAAAATGCTAGAATTTCAAACTCAAACTGATACCCCCAACAACAGAAAAACCCAAC